TGCGTGTGGCTTTTGTCAAGGGGGCTTGTGTGTGTGTGCGCGTAGGTGAGTGTTGGGTAAGGAGTGACCGAGGAGAACGATTGGAGCGATTGAACGGGGCAGAGCGAGTTTGTGTAGTGCGAAGCGATTATTTTTCGTGTATAATAAAGTTCTTGTTAAGAAGTTCGTCGCGTTCATTACTCTCACAGTCAGCTATATCCTACAAATTTGGGGGCTCGCCCGGGATTTATTGCGGGGAAAAGTGTTCGTGACGGAAGTGAGTCGTGTTTGTGTTTTGTGATAAGCGATAGTGGTGTTATTTCGAGTATGGAGAAGCTCCAAGACCTGTCCGTGGTGCGGCTCAAGGAGGAACTGAGGAAGTTGGGTTTGTCCTCGTCTGGCGTGAAGACCGAGTTGGTGCAGAGGTTGTTGGCGGCGGATCCGAGCGGATCGTTCGCATCAGAGGATGCGACCGAACCGGGAGCATCGAGGACGGACGAAAGCGCTGGCATTTCCCGCGAGCCGGTAGAGGTGGGTGGCAGCGAACGGGAGATGCAGCTCTTGCGGCGGGAGAATGAACTCATGAAGCGCGAGCTAGAGCTGCAGCGTCGCGAAATGGAGATGCTGCGAGGGATGCAATCTGTGGGGGCAACGGCATCGGTGGAGTCGGGACATAGGAGTCCTCGGGGGAAAATGAGCATCACGGCAATTGCCGATCTCCTCAATTATTTTGATGGCGACGGGAATCAATTCGAGAGGTGGGAGAAACAGTTGACGATGCTCCAAACGTCGTACGATCTGGCCGAGTCGGAATGCCGAATTTTGATAGGTTCGCGATTGCGTGGGAAAGCCCTTGATTGGTTCCACTCAAAGCCGGAATTCGTGTGGGTGTCAATCGGGCAACTTTTGGAAGAAATGCGATCGATGTACCACCATAGACCAAGTAGGACAGCGAGGAGAAAGCAATTTGAGCAGCGTGTCTGGAGGAAAGGGGAATCCTTTGGAGAATACTTCCACGACAAAATGATATTAGCGAACCGCGTTCCTATAGAGGAGGACGAGCTAGTTGAACAACTGGTTGAGGGCATTCCGGATGTGACCTTGCAGAACCAGGCCCGCATCCAACGGTTTGGGGATAAATCGCTGTTGCTCGCGGCATTCGAGAGGGTGCGATTAGATGCGGCTGGAAAATCGCATGTATGGAAAAGCCCTGCGCCGAGGAGAGAAGATCCGGTGAAGCAGGAGGTACGCGTGCAGCCCAGCGAGTCGGTAAGGAGGTGTCGTAGCTGTGGAGGGAAGGACCATGCGTTGGTGGACTGCCCGACGAAGGATAAGGGGAGGAAGTGCTTCCAGTGTCGCGAGTTCGGGCATATATCGGCGTATTGTCCGACCAAAAAACCAGCGGTTAGGGACAGTTGCGGTGTTAGCGGAGACAGCGAGAAGGGCAAGTATTGCAAAGACGCGCGAGTTAACGGGCATAATGTTAAAGCCTTGATAGATACCGGTAGCGACATAAGCTTGATGCGTGCGAGTAAGTATGTCGAGATTGGTATGCCGGAATTGACTCGAAAAGAAATTATTTTCCGCGGGGTAGGGTCGGTCAATCATAAAACTTTTGGCGAATTCGAGACAAGCATCGCGATCGATAGCGACGTATTCGGAATAAAGGTCAACGTCATTCCGGATAGTCTGACAACGCACGATTTAATTGTCGGAACCGACTTTCTAAGCGAGACGGAAATTACGATTAGGGATGGGAAAGTTTCGATAAAAAAACCTGTATCGCGATGTGACCATGCGGAGCGCGGAATTCTGAGCATAGACTGTGTTTACGAATCGAACAGCGTCGATTTATCGGATATTCGGAACGAACAATATCGAGCTGCGGTGGGGCATTTAATAGCGGCGTACAGGCCGTCAAAAACTCGTGAAGTGAGCGTCGAAATGAGCATCGTGTTAAAGGACGACGAACCGGTCTATCAGCGTGCGAGGCGTTTGTCGCCAAAGGGGAAAGAGGAGGTGCAGAAACAGGTGGAAGAATGGCTGCGGGACGGTATTGTACAGCCGTCTCTATCGGACTACGCGAGTCCAGTTGTGTTAGTGAATAAGAAAGACGGTGCGAAAAGACTATGTGTAGATTATAGATTATTGAATGCGAAGATAATTAAAGACCGCTACCCCCTTCCCCTAATCGAGGACCAACTGGATCGCCTGCAGGGTGCACGGGTTTTCAGCACTCTCGATTTAAAAAATGGTTTCTTCCACGTTTCCCTTAGCAAGGACAGTCGGAAATACACGGCTTTCGTGATTCCCGATGGGCAGTTTGAATTTTTAAGAGTTCCGTTCGGGTTGTGTAATGCGCCTGCAGTTTTCCAAAGGTTCATAAACGCCGTATTCAAAGAGTTGATCGCGAAAGGGGTAGTGCTGTCTTATATGGATGACCTTATTATACCTTCGGACGGGTTCGAGAGTGCGTTGGAAAGTCTGGAATCGGTATTGAAAACAGCGGCTCAGTATGGTCTGGTAATTAATTGGAAGAAGTGCGCTTTCCTACAGAGACGGGTCGAATTTTTAGGGCACATTGTTGAGAATGGAAGCGTGCGACCGTCGGAGAAGAAAACCCTGGCGGTAATTAATTTTGAAAGGCCACGAAATATTAAAAACCTCCTAAGTTTCTTAGGCCTGGCGGGATACTTCCGGAAGTTTATCCGCAACTATTCGGTTATAGCACGACCGTTGACGGACTTGACGAAAGCGAATCGCGAATTTGTGTTCGGGGATAGGGAGGAGTGCGCGTTTAAACAATTAAAAATGTCGTTGTGTGAGAAGCCGGAGCTGCGATTGTACCGGGTGGGAGCAGACACCGAATTGCATACCGATGCATCGAGTGCCGGTTACGGGGCGGTTCTTTTGCAACGCGATGCGGGGAACGGCGCTCTGCATCCCATATATTATGCGAGTGGGAAGACGAGCGAAGCGGAAGCGAAGTATTCAAGCTATGAGCTGGAAGCGTTAGCCATAGTGAAAGCGGTAAAGAAATTCCGAGTCTACTTGTTAGGTGTGCCGTTTAAAATTGTGACGGACTGTAGGGCGTTTGCGTTAACCCTCAGGAAAAAAGACTTATGCGTGAGGGTGGCAAGGTGGGCACTTCTCCTGGAGGAGTTCCAGTATGTAATAGAACACAGATCGGGGAAGAGCATGCCGCATGTTGACGCGCTCAGTCGGCAACCGTTGCCTAATTGTCTGGTGGCGGGTCGCGAAGAAGAGGGGCTGATGGCTCGGCTTAGGCGAGCGCAGCATGAGGATGCTCTTCTACGAAAGATATTGGAGGCGTTCAAGGAGGGGAATCTGGATGGCTACGTCGTGAGGAACGGGATCTTGTTTAAGGAGGTGGATGACGAGATTCGGTTGGTGGTGCCTGCGAGTATGCAGTCACAGATAGTCAGGCAGGGTCACGAGAGGGGGCACTTCTCAGTTGGGAAGACATTACTCCTCGTGCAGAGGGAATATTGGTTTCCCAACATGAGGTCAAGGGTAGAGAAAGTGGTGAGAAATTGCGTGCCGTGTATCCTAGCGAATAAAAAACAAGGCAAACAAGAGGGTCTGCTACATCCGATAGATAAGGGGGACGCACCGCTACTAACGTACCACATAGATCACTTGGGTCCGGTGCCGTCGACACGGAAGAATTACAGGTATATATTCGTCGTAACGGATGCATTCAGTAAGTTTGTTTGGTTGTACGCGACGAGGTCAACGGATACGGCCGAGGTCGTGAAACGGTTGGAAAACCAGGCGGCGATATTCGGAAACCCAAGGAGAATAATATCGGACAGAGGGACCGCGTTTACGTCTCAAGATTTTAAGCGGTATTGCGAGCGGGAAAATATTCAGCATGTGAAAATAGCGACTGGTGTACCACGAGGGAATGGGCAAGTGGAGCGTGTCAATCGGACCCTTATCCCACTGATAACAAAATTATCCGCCGTGAAGCCAGAGGAATGGTTTAAACATTTAGATACAGCGCAAAAATATATAAATTCGGTGCCGCATCGGAGTACGGGAGTGACACCGTTTAAAATACTGTTTGGCACGGACATGAAATTACGAGAAGATCCAGCGATACGCGAAATGCTGGAGGAGGAGGTAACCGCTGTGTTTCAGGAAGATCGCGACGAATTACGGGAGAAGGCGAGACAGAAGATATCGCAGATTCAGCAGGAAAACAGAAGAGGCTTCGATAAAAAGAGGAAGAGAGCACAGCGCTACAGACAAGGAGAGTTGGTGGCCATACAGCGGACGCAGTCCCACCCTGGGGCAAAGTTTACGGCAAAGTTCCTCGGACCGTTCGAAGTCACCAAAGAGTTGAGGAATGATCGTTATCTGGTGAGAAGGGTTGGCGATCATGAAGGTCCGCTGCAGACTTCAACGTCGGCCGACCACATGAAGTCGTGGGTCATTGATGATAGCGGAAATGAAGACGACGAGGAATTTGAAGGCTTGAATGAATCGATCGACGACACCTGAGGGCAGCTGTCATATTCAGGACGGCCGAGTGTGGGATGTGAGTGTGCGAGTGCGTTGTTGTGTGAGTGCGTGAGGCGAGTGACCGGAGTCAGCTGTGCGAGTCGATCGATTGGGTTATGAATTGACGAATGCAGAATGCGTGTGGCTTTTGTCAAGCGGGCTTGTGTGTGTGTGCGCGTAGGTGAGTGTTGGGTAAGGAGTGACCGGGGAGAACGATTGGAGCGATTGAGGTGTGCGGAGTGTTTTCGTGTAGTATCCGTCTTTTGGTATTCAATAAAGTTCTGTGTACAAGGTTCGTCGCGTGCATTAATCCCGCAGCAAACTACATCCTACAATACCTAAGTATCAAATTTGCAGTCAGAATTGCCTCCCACCCACAGAACCCAGTCTTCCATAAGGTATTCAGAAAAAACAACCTAAACTACTTGCAACAAAGGAAAAGAACACCCCATCCACTCTGCTACAGAATCAGTAATTATCTGAAGGAGCTTGGCATGGAAATCCAGCTCACATCGAGCAGATCCATCCCCAGCATCCCTCCGTGGACCTTTCCAAGAATTAGCACTAACACCTCTCTACTGAACTACAGTCAAAAGAAATCTGATCCAATCATGCTAAAGGCTATGTTCCAAGAATTGGAAGCGGGACTCGCAAACCACGTGCATATATACACAGACGGGTCCAAGCCACCATTCGGATCCGGATACGCAATTGTCAGGAACCAGTCAACCGAAAAAGTTAAACTCCATCACAAAACACCTATCTTCCTATGCGAACTTCAAGCAATTAAACGCGCCATCAAATCAACTTTAACCGACCAAAATACAAATTTTGCAATTTTCTGTGACTCCACAAGCGCCATCTCAGCAACACAAAAACTATGGACAAGCAACCCTGTCATCCAAGAATGTCAAGAAGCCTACACCAGATCGAGCCAAAAGAACAACTCAATAACAGTAATATGGATTCCTTCCCATATTGACATAACCGGCAACGAAAAAGCGGACCGTGCAGCTAAAGAAGCAGCCAACTCATCCACCCCCAACCACCACGACAACGGCACTCACCTGGAAACGTTACTCTCCATTCTCAAAGAAAAAAGTAAAAACTGTTGGAACAAAGAGTGGAGCACATCAACCAAATCCCGTACAAAATTAATCAAAAATGACTTCTATGAAAAATCCATTACCTGGAAATTACCCAGACCAGACCAAGTGAGAGTATCACGAATCATTATAGGCCACACCAAACTGACCCATCAACACCTCCTCCAAAAAACAGGCCCACCAATATGCGAAACATGCAAAGACCTCCTAACAATAGAACACATCATCATCCACTGCAGAAAATATATTCCAATCAGGCAACGGCTCAACATAAAACCAACCCTAAAGGACAATCTGAAGGACAACACATCGACCCAAAATCTATTACAGTACCTCAAAATTACCAAATTGTACAACAAACTCTAAAAATGTATTCTCCGAGTCGCTAATAACCCTTAGCGGTTGATGCGACTTTAAACAAATAAATATAATTTTCCTTGATTGTTTTGAGATAACCGTATCAATTTGTTATGACGAACTAAATAGAACTAACTAGAAACAAAGGAAAGGTGATCCCGTTTGCCAGTTTAATACAAAGTATGGGTTGGATCTTAAATTTTAAAAGGACATAGTCGAATATTTTTAAAGGTACAAAACATAGCGTTTCATTGTAGAACAGTAACATTAGTTAGCAGGTAATGTCATAAAACTGTTTTTCCCAGCTATATCCCTTTTTACTTGAAGTATAAGGTAAAAAGTACGAGCTACAAGGTACGACTATCCGAAAATCGTTCGCATTTTATCAATGTAAATGAAGCGGCCTTTCCATCAGAGTTAAATACAAAATTTTGTAATTTCTGTAAAAACAGAACTTTCATTAGATGTAGGTGGTGCTTGAAATTGTTATGTTTTCACTGTTTTTACGAAAAGTACCATCCAGATTCATGTACTTCGTACATTGAAAATAACATATGTTAAATGTAATTGGTTAAATTCAACTTTAAAAAAAAAATATTCGAAGGTCAGACAAAAATATAATGTCACATTTAGTGTACGATTAAAATATGATTGAAAAAATAAAAAAAAAGAATTTGTTTTGGCAGGGTTTGAACCTGCAGAGCAGAAGCTCGGAACTTACAGGCAAACACTCTATCATTCACGTCACGCTGATTATTGGTGAACATAGTTCTATTTCTGAAGATAACTTTAATAATATCTCAAAGTAAAACCTAACCCAAAACCTGGTACCATTTCAACTTTTCCTTGTTAGAACCGAGTTTTCAATTTGTCTTAGCGAAAATCGCAATCACATTTTGCACATTATTCTAAAACATTTGTGATATTCGTTTTCAATGCGATTTAAGTAAGCATGTAATGTATAAGATTTCATTTAAGTTTTTCTTTTCTAGAGAAGATAGAGAAAAAGTTTATATAATTTTTTTTATATCAAATTTAATTCGTCCTAAGATTTATATGAAACATTTAAAAGATTTTTTATACATTATGCCTATACTTAGCAGTGGTTAGCAGTGGTCAGCAGGGGCCAGCAGAGGCAGGCAGAAGCCCGCACATGCTGGCAGAGGTTAGCAGAGGCCAGCAGAAACCAGCAGAGGCTGCGAGAGGCTGACAGTAGTCAGTAGTAATGGTTATACGTTGCCAGATATGTCAGCAGTGACATCTGAAATAATATGCATATGTACGCTCATACAAAGGAATAATTAAAAAAAATTTCTTTTTTTCAATAATTAAAATATTATCAGGGTGTTTTAAAACGTGCATTTCCGTAAAAAAAATTTCAAAATTTTGTTTTTATTATGGGTACTTTGCTTATGTGTGTCTACATGCATAGGTCGAAAAGTACTGTTGACTGGAAGTCGATTTCAGTTGTTCAAGAGCGAGAAGACAAATGTGAGCTTTTCTCTCTCGACTCCCACGAGGCAGTCCGAAATTACTTCGGGTAGTCTCGGAGAATCGAGAAAGAGTGCATATGTCAGTTTGCCTTTGTCGATTTTCCGAAATTCTACGAGCTCACGTACTTACGCGTGATCTGACGTAGGGTCAATAGTGTACCCTGTGCTCAATCTAGCATATCTATTCTATAATCAATTGCTAGTAATTTCATCGTTTACACGTCAGAAATTCTCGAAGAGTGTATAATAGACAATATTTTTGTCATATTTGTAATAACATTGTAATAACATTTAAAATATAAGTTTAATATGTCGTGTAACGTTTGTCAAACAAAATTCTCATTCTTTACTAGAGAAGTAAGTTACTATTTCTCGTATTTGTTCAAAGGTAGAATAGGTTATGTCGCATCATAATCGTGTAAAAGCGCTTTCGCAAAGTTTTAATTTTGTAATTTAAACATCTAAAACGCTAAAACGTATTTCAGTAAGTTTTCAGTTTCATCGTTTTTCATTGCTGTTATCTCATTTAGGTAGCTTGTCCAGGCTGTGGTTTTTCGTATTGTGCTAAGTGCCTCAAATATAAATATGATATTCCAGATAGAGGAGTGAAAAAGATTTGCGGACGTTGTTACAATAAATATAATTGTACAAAAAAAGTGAACTCTCATAACACTACTGCTATGTCGGATGAGCACGAAGAAGCTTTTGCTCCAGTGGACATTACTAAAAAGTAATATACCTTTTATAGTTATTAGAATATCAAAATTTTCTTTAACTTACATATAATAATGTGATTATTAGATTGGATTCTTTAGAAAATCCAGCAAAGCCACCAATAGTAATGTACAAGCACACCAATCACTGGGACAAATTCAAAAAGGGTTTAGAACCTGCTGATCAAGAAATAGTTGATAGATTACGAAAGTTAAAAGAAGAAGACAAAACTGCAGCTTTAAGCGTTGATGAAATAAAGAGAAGATTAGCATTGTTGAAGGACGAAGATCCGGATGCTAGTAGTCATAAAATAAATGTATAATAATATTGATCAAGAATTTACAAAATTATTTTACTATGCATCCTTCTGTGTACAGTTATCTTATTGTTTGTAGATACATCAAGTGGATACTAGGACAGACCAACAAAAAACAGAAGATTTGATACAGGAGTACCTTCAACAGCTAGAATTAACTTCAGGAAACGATCCTGTTAACGATATTCAGTCAAGGTTAAGATCATTACAGGGTACAAGTGATGTATCCAAGAAGGTATGTAAGTGCAACATAAATAACTTAGATATAATTGTATAGTATACATGGGCGTTCTTTTAGCATTTGAACGAAGATATCGACGATGATGAAAAACATGTAACAAAAACATTAATTGCAAAAGCTTTGGCTGAAGCAGAATTGGAGAAAAAATATGAAGAAGATGTGGACGAACTACAGGAAATGGAAGTCGATGTATGTGTGCCAGATTTTTTACATTTTTATAACAGCGAATAAAAAATTGTGATCATAATATTAATGGTTATAGGCAAGAAAGCATACTGATAGCGAAGATGAGAAGCCTACTTGCGTAATGTGCAATCAAACTGAAGATTTAGAACAATGTTTGGGCTGTCACGGTGACCTCTATTGTCCCATATGCTTTGAGGATAACCATGATGATTTTGAATTGCAAAAACATAAAAGAGTGCCAGCATTAAAACCAAGTCTGTATTGAGAAAAATCGTCAGAATGTTTAGAAAATATGCTTCTTAACAATTGATGCAACATGCAATTTATCATTGAGGCACTTGCTATATAATGTTTACGAAAGGTTTATGAATAGTATCACTTTCAATTTTTATATGGTCACGGATATTATTGTTGAAATAGAAGCATTTATTGCATTGTACACATAAATAATAAATAATACAAATTTGCTAACTATTATATTCATAAGCTTGAAGCTGATATTGTGATCCCATTACACAGTGTTAGTAGAAATTATTTTATGCTATATTTACTCGAATGGAAAGTAGTTTTATAATAATATTAATTAATATGATGTATTTAATGATAAATACACATGCTTTTGCTATGATACAACATTAATTTGTAGTTAAAGAAATTTACTATTAGTTTGCTCTCGATTTTTTACACCATTCTCTGTTCTCGATGTTGGTTTAAGAACTTATTTGCAGAAACGGAAATTACAGTTTGCGAACAATTATTAAAAATTATATATTTCGTTTGAAAAAAGATTGTTACCCGAAGGATCGAATGTTTTATATTTTTAAAATTTGAATGTACCAAAATTCCATGCGATTGTCCTGAAAGCATTATCGTCTTGACAATTAAAATACCAAAGTAAATTCAATGGCCCTATGTAGATGTCAGTAAAGACATCTCCTGACATCTTCAGCGGGAGTCCCCGGAGGTGGTCGGCGTCGCGACGCAAAAACCATCTGAAAATCTAAGCAGGCCTTCTATTTTTAGATGACTCGCATACGTTTGCTGTGCCAAGTTTTCGACGATGTTGGGATCGGTTACAAACGGATAAGACATTTGTCCCTTTTTAATACCATTAAGTGGTCAGCATCAGACATCTTCCTGTCAATTATTAAATCAGCAGATACATATTTAACAAAACGAAAGAAATTAAATAAATAAATTCATTAATCCTTAGCTGAAAAATTCAGGTTGAATTAAAATGAAATGAGGCTAAATTATTTATAAATATATCATTGAGTGACAAAATTATTTGTTTATTCGTTATTAAATTTTTAAATGAATTTCCGTTTCTAGTTCACAGTTGATTTCATTTTCCTTCGTATTATTCTATAAAAGGGAAACGTTATGGTTTATGTCTACAAACAATTTGCAGGAATTTGGCAGTGAATAAGTTGCGTGATGTCATACATGTTATTCTTAACAGGTCGTTGGTACCGGAATTTCCGTTACACCAGCAACTGCATTTTTCGAGGAAGCTTGTCTCGTTACATATACAATATACTCTTTTCTGATCGCATGTGTGTGTTTCTGACTTTCACAATATCAGTTCATTTTCATTTTGTTCATTTTGTTTCTCCATGAACAATCTACCGAGTTGCTAATAACCCATTCAAGTGCTTGATAATGTTCTACTTACGATGTAGGTACCTTTGTATTTGTCTATGTTTTATTTATTGCAAAATGTTTGTAAAAATGATTCGCTTGCAATACAATTTTTTTACAATATAGTAAATAGTATTTTACGTATAGTCGACTTAGTATTAGTTTATAATAAATTGAAAAATATTTCTTGTGGATTCTTCCATAATATTGTGCCACATTTTTATTCACGAAAGTAAATAGTTTTTTTTATTATAACTTTTAGAGCTTACAACTTAAAAAGTAAGTATCAATAAAAATTACGTGAAACCGTATTATTCGAGACATGGAACGGTCTCTGAAATTGAAGATTCATGCTATTTAGGAAACATTTACGAGTTCCTTCAGTTGATTTAACCATTGAAACATGAAAATGGTGTCTTTACTTCCAGTTACGAAAATGTTCTCGAGAGTGTGATTTGAAGGAGTTTCACCAAGAACATTTTTCGTTTTATTACCAGACACCAGACAGCAAATTGTGATTTTCCATTTCAAAATTCGATTAGTTTTGCATAGAATTCTTAGTAATATTATTTTAAGTTTTGCTATTTTTCAGCTCGAAAGGTATACGCTTTTTTCCTTCTTTATCAAACATTGATCTACTACCCAATAATCAGCCTTGATACTAGATATATATTTCGATTCTCAAAACTCTCAGAACTTATACTCGGGCTGAAGAAAGAATTGAGTCGAGAGTTAAGTAATAGTGGGATTAAGCAAGTAATGTAAAAACCTGTGAAGCACATAACACACCTAATATCGACTGTGTATTTAGTTAACGGTAAATTATACAACGGGCATGCAAAGAACGAAAAGAATAAACATATATAATGAGGTTTTGTGACACGTGCAATCAGTAATAGTCATCGTTCACCATCACGAGAAGCAATTAGCAATATAGAAAAAAACTTTCCCAGTTTCTTCCTAGATCTTAACAAACGTTTGATGTTCCGTTTAATAAAAATCTAGTATTTTCTTCAAGCTGATTGCATGTATATTTATTTATACATTAATCCATGAATAATTAGATTATAAATAGGTTAAAGATTCATGTAACGAAATTAACTAAGATATCATTGAGGTTAGGTTTTATAGTCGGCATTTTAAATTTCATCTTACGTAGCATGCGTAGATGTATTGTGACTGTATTTTATGTTTATATACAGGGTGTTCGGCCAACCCTGGGAAAAATTTTTAATGGAAGATTCTAAAGGCTAAAACAGGCATCGTTAAAAAGTTATACAAACATTTCTAACCTCACATTATATATTCGGAAAAGAATTTTTGTCTCGAAAATACGTAGGATTTCGGGGATATGTGTATTCACCAAAAATGATTGTAATTGACCCTCGCTACCAAAAATAATTTTTCCAGAACGATTTGAAATTTTTTAATTTTGTCGACAAAATCAATCTACTCGAATTTTTTTTTCTCGAAAGTACGTAGGATTTCGGGGATGTGTCTATTCATCAAAAATGATTGTAATTGACCCCTGCAACTGAAAATAATTTTTCCGTGAACGATTTGTTGTGATTTTTAATAACTTCTTAACGAAGCCTCAATCAACAAATTGATATTCTTGATTTTCGTCTTATTTTGGCCTCTAGAATCGCTCATGTAAATTTTTTCCCAGGGTTGGCCGAACACCCTGTATATTTTCACATATATATGTCTAATAAAAACTTTTAATATCAACAGTGATGATTGAAACTCACAAGATACAAGGAAATTGTTTCAGTTTGTAGGCGAACACGATTGATTTATAGATGGCAGTGTGATACAGCCTGATTTATGTGCTAGTCATCGAAAATTGTTTATGATTATTAATTTCAAAAATTTTACACAGTATGAAATTGGTTCCACAAAGAAAATTTTTATTAGGCAAGATAATAATAATATGGATTTAATATGTGTTATAGAAAGTCAAATTATTGCACATAATAACATCTTCTGTTTTTTTAAGTTCTATCTTCAATATTAAAATATAATGTATATTAATAGTGTATGTTCATTGCATGTCAAAATTATAACTTGATCGGAAATTTTTAGCAACTACAATATATGGTACAGTTTAAACCGTATAAATTAAAGAAATGGATTCGAAGCTACTGATTTTTGTAAATTTTGTCGAACAAAGACTCGCTATGTTAGGATAAATCATTAAATAGCGAAAAAGAATTTTAAAAAATTGAACGAAGACAACGATAATATGTCTATCTACCCTTAATGTAAATAGCAGAATGAATAAGTAAACAAAAGAAGTAAACGTACACAGGGTGTTCGGCCACCCCTGGGAAAAATTTTAATGGGGGATTCTAGAGGCCAAAATAAGATGAAAATCAAGAATATCAATTTGTTTGTATACGCATGAAAATTAAACTTTACATGGAGATATGGAATTGTGTGTATGCTGCTTTCGATAAATTGATCGAATCGGGTTGTCACAGTGACCAATATTATGAACAAATGTTTCTGTTTGTAAGGAATAAACTTACTAAAGGACTCGGCAAAGATTAAATGGAATAATTACACGGGATGTAGGAAATTGGACCACGCGTTATGGATTCCAAAGATCAGACTATATTTTCATCGAATGCGTTTGTTCATAAAATAGTTACATTCTCGCCACATATTTATACAATCTTCTACCGTGTAGTTTTTTGTTTTGTTTTCTTAGTCAGCCACTCTGTCTTTTCTTTCACGCAGTCTGTTTCTCACATACACTCATACACACGCATGTACGCTTTTCGCCGGAAAAAATACAAAATTTCTGGTTCGAAAGCACGTGATCTCTATGGATTCGTAAACAACATTATACAGAAGAAAAAAGAAAAAAAAAACAAAGGTCGGAAGTAATGAGTATCACCCTGAACAAGGAACCATAAAATGATGCACCCCATTCTCTGTTACGCTAAAAGAGAAAAACACCTAAATAATATGTAGAAATTAGTGAAAATCTTGAAGCTACGTTCAAAATTGTCCATCGAATACGTTCTTTATCGACATTCGGTAACAATAAACGGGATGCATCATTTCTTACAAGACGAACACATACAATTCTAACAATATGTACACGGTTCGTATACAGACACGTGTTTCGTCGGCGACACCAGACGCGTGATATTCAGCGCACGTGACTCACGCCTTAAATCGTCCCAACGGACGTACAATAAATTATAAATAATAATAATAATAGTAATATAAAGTTAGTTAATCAGGCCGTGCGCTGTAATACTAGAAACGGACGTGGCTTCGGTTATTGAAATTCGTCTCCGACGATCCCAACGCGTTTTCGTTAAGCAAATCGTCGGCATTAAAAAAAATTCACGTAATCGTAATGAATTAATTCTTTAGCTATTATCGATATCGGTCAAGTCATAGGTCCTGATAATACAAGACACCAAAAATATCTTGTGCTTTTTCTGTCGCTCCCTCTCTCTCACACATTATATTCCCTTTCATTCAGCTCGTCCAACGAAGGGAAGATGATGTCTGGCACGTGACGTTACTCGGTAAAAATAAAAGAAACAAAACACTCTTACATTGCAACTCTTTGCGTGTGAATGTTTTTGAAACGTATTCGTCGAATGCCTATAAACGTTTGCTGCATACAACGTACAAATAGGAGCTACAAAAGGTTAAGAGCTAAATTTCTGCTTTCGAGCGACAATTTTTACACTAAATACAAGTAACGGAATTTTCTCCTCGCGGTTTACGTTTGACCACATATCGTCGATCGTTCGGTCACAGTTTTAAAAACTGTTACTCATTCAGTTTTTGTCACTGAAAACAGAAATTACTGTGCTTTGCACACGTTGCTCTTTCTCTCTTTCTATCTGTCTCTCTTCCTTTTCCAGTGAGAATAATCGCAACAGAAAACTTTTCTAATCAATTTCGCACTAGTATTCCCCGTGCTCGGGTGACCTTTCTCCTAAAAAATAAAGACAGGAACAGCCTCTTCCAAATGCAAATAGCAGCGCATGAAATGATAATCCAATGTGATAATAATTATAAAAAAAAATAAAAAAAAAAAACAAAAAAAGAAAGAAACGTTTGTTGTTCAATGCGCCTACGAATGCTAAAAACGCTGTTTTCCTGTCGAAGTCGATCAGAAAGTTCTCCTGATGAACAACCATGCGAGTACGTCGATCCACGACGCTTCGATCCGGCACCAAGATCAACGACAAAGCTAGGACGAGGACTTGTGGTTCTTCCAGACCACCAGACTTTTATCTTCGGCTCCCCAAGTTGGTTTCAGGATCAGGATCACGAATCCTAAACCATCGTTTCTCGTTGCAACAATTTGCAAACTTGTTCCATCTTTATTTCGCGTTTGCTTCGGCTCCTTCCGGCGCTGGTAGCGGTATAGGCTTGTCAGAGACTGGTGCCTGTTTCTTCGATTTCTTGCCTTTCTTCGTCGTTTTTGGTGACTGCTTCACCTCGTCCACCTCCATCTTCTCCGTTTTCTCTTTTTGTTTTTTGTCGACTTTTTCTTTAGAAACGTTTTCCTCTTTCTTGGTTTCGTCGGATACAGTCTCTGGCTTCTTAGACGCACTCTCTGGCTTCGTCTCTTCAGAAACTGTATCTTTCTTCCTGTCAGAATCATCCTCTGGCTTCTTCTCTTCGGTGACGTTTTCCGTTTTCTCTTCAGGAATGCTCCCCTTATTTTCTTCAGAAACTTCTGTCTTCTCAAGTGTATTCACCTGTTCGGTGGTCTGCTGCACATCCATTGGCGTAGAGTCGGACTTCTCTACAGGAGCAGCGATGTCCATAGGTTCGGAAATCTTCTGTTGCTCATTGGCTTGATTATTGTCGGGATTTTTTATCTTTTCATTCGAGCTATCGTTGTCTTCGGACATTTTCGACGGAGACGATGGACCAGCTGGTAGAGGTATTGGATCGTTGGTCTGCGACTGTTCCTCCAGTTTCTGATCCACTTCCATGGACTCGCTTTGCTTGGGCTTCTGGACGTCATCGGATACTTGTTTCTCCGGTTTCTCGGGCGTCGTTTGTTGAGAAGGAAGAGGCGCCTTCGACTCCAATAGACTGATGGTTTCCTGTATGGTCCTTATCGCGTTTTTGCGCGCCTGTCGGACGTTATCTCTGCCCTCGGTCTCTATGTCGTCCAGTTTGATCAGCTCCCTGGTGAGCATTTCGTCGAGGTAGATGTACTCTTTGTCCGCTCTCGAATTTCTGGTGTACAATTTCACTTGCTCGGCGAGAGAGTCCACTTCTTTTTGAACAAGGGCTACCCTTTCCAAAGGATCCTTTGGAACGAAGGGTTTGGGCTTTGGTGGGTCTTGCTGTTGCTGTGGTTGTTGAGGCTGTTGAGGCTGTTGAGGCTGTTGAGGCTGTTGTTGTTGTGGTTGTGGTTGCTGAGGTTGTTTTTGCTGTTGTCTCGGTTGCTCGTGATGTTGTTGCTGTGGTTGTCTCTCGGCGTATTGCTGCTGTTTAGGCTGTTGGAACTGAGTTTGTTGTTGCTGTCGACGCGTGGGTTGCTCGTAAGCGGTTTGTTGAGAATAGAATGGATCTTGGAAGTCGGGCGACCATTGGTGGGACCTTCCGAACGACGACTGTCCAAAAGGGGACTGTCTCTGGAAATAAGGCGGTGAATTGAATTGCGTGGGAGAGGGTTCTCGTCTGAAATGTGGCTCGTCGAAGCTTCTAGGTAGTAAAGGTTCATCCCTGCCCTCGACGAAAATCGGTATGTGTCTGATGTTGCTCTGCTGCTGTTGTGATTTCGATTGTTGTTGCGATGGCGGCTGCGGCTGCGGCTGTGGCTGCGGTTGCTGCTGCTGCTGCTGTGGCTTCTGTGATTGCTGAGGTTGATTGTGTTGAGGCGTTATGTCTATCCTGGAGATATACCTCTGTCCCTGTGACTGTTGAGGCTCCTGGTTTTGTTGCTGCGATTGTTGCTGATTCGACGATTGTTTGTTTTCTGGCGGAGCAGACATCGAACGCTTCCCACGATTTCCTTTGCCGGGATTCTCCATGTTGTGGTGGTGTTGACCTATGTCCACCGTGTTACGCAGCCCGTACTGCGGGATCTGGCTCCTCCTGCTCGACTGCTCGAAATTTCGAGATCGATTGTCTTGCTGATTCTGGTTGGCCTCCGATTCGCCGTGAGAGCTGACACCACTCGCACCGCTGGCGGCGCTGCTTCCGCTCGCCTGACTTCTCGCGTCCTCGTCCGAATAACCCTGATAGTTGCTGTTGTTGTTGTTTCCGCCGTTCCCGGGGCCACGATTCCGGTTACGGAACGAACTGTGGAATGGTATGTCGTTTAAGAGATCAGCGAATTCCGGACGACGAGCCGCTAAATCGTCCAAGTGAGACCTAATGTCGCTGCGTCGACCAAAACCGTCGTCGTCGAACAGGAACCCCTGTAAAAGCAAAATGATTCTAGGTAAGATACACGATATTCAAAGTACAATTATTCATGCTAGACTATCGAGGATCTTGAGAACGAGGCTGCTTGTAAGCAATAAACGAGTAATTTTACCTCATCTCTCGTTCTCAGCATTTTATTTATTAACACTATTTCTATTTCAGTTTTCTGTGTAGGTATTTATTTCGATCAAAAGTAGTTTGAAGTTTTTGGTAGAAACAGTATTAATAGCTATTTTTGTATATCAACTAAATAATGCTATTTCTGTTCCACCGTCGAAGTAAAAGCAAACATTGTTTTGCCTTTTAAAGAATTAAAAAATATATATGCGATACGCTACAAGAAGTGCATAATAATTTAATCCTAAGAGCACAATTGTACATCACGGTCAAAATATCTAATAGTTTAGAAAAATGAAACACGATTCTTCATCGTGAAATCATCTCAAATATATATTACAGCGTAATAAAAAGAGTAGCAGTATCATTGATAGGAAGCAGATAACATTGTCTATGTTTATGAACAAAAATTTTATTCTGCACTTTTGACTTATTTTTTCACGAGGAATCGCCCCCTGTACGGTTATATCGCCATTGCCAGAACCGCCCTGTATACTCTGTAAGCCGCTATATTAAAAATAAAGCGACATCGATACGTAACTGAAAAAATAGCGACATCTGTTTCTCTAAATCTAACAAACAAGATTAATAAGAACGAAACGTGTAATGCATCGTTGAGTGTTCGTTAGTTCCGTGGGTGGAGCAAGTGTCCTTGTAAGTGGATCTCAATTAGTAGGTTGAAAAACCAGACTGAAAGTTGAAGTCGATGTTGTACCTTAAGTACTCTAAATCTGGGAGATCTGATTGAAGGGAGCCAAGCATGGAACGCGTTGCCAAGTGTACGTCAGACTCGACATTTAGTAACTATCGTACGAATCGAAGCTCCCGAGCTTACGAGTCGATAAGCTTCATCTAAAGTTGAGGATAGTACCAAGCATTGTTAAATCTGGGGTATCCGACTAAAAAGGAACAACAGGCGATTCGAGTCTGTATCTGGCTGATTTGATTAAAAGGAACAAAGCGTGAAATGTGTCGTTTGAGGAGTTCGTCGAATCTCGACGATATATCCAACGTGGTACTTCTGTTACGTCGCTTCAAGCTGCTAGCAATTGAGCATAATTTCCAACAAAATTGCGAAACCTTATCGAAACTATCAAGCCATGCAATAGCGAAATATTTATTGCTACATACGTGAACGCCGTGAAAGATCTGAAGTTACTTCACGAGGACCAGATGTGCGTGTTTCACAGCCTCGAAAGAAGAAAGGCGCGTTGTTGCTTAGCGCTACAGCGCCTAGATTCGCACTAGCTATTCACGCCGCTTCGTGTACAATGTATTTATGTGGGCGTTTCACTCGTGACGCTGTATATTACGGGTTTTACGTCACGAAAAAACTATATATAGGGCCGGCGCAACGTGCACGTATATGTACCTTCGAGTATGTATTTTTCCGGCTCGCCCACGTGAAATAATTCGGTCAAGCAAACCGTGAAACCACGCGTCCACAAATAATAATGATCATTCGAAAATCCATGAACAAACTTCTCTTTCGAGCAATATTTTTAAACGTCAATTACCCGCATAACACGAATGAGAACTTGACGCGCATACGAAATCGTTTTATTGCCATATCGTTCTGGACGAAATTGGACATTTGCGTTTAGAACGAAAAGTAAATTTTCCTCTAAATCATCGCCCAGCGGGTCCATTTAGACCCATGTAAACTGTTTCTTTCGGAGTCGTGAAGGTTTCGTTTTCTAAGTTTTGCCAGAGTCCAATAACGGATTTCTAATTATTCTGAACAATAATCAAAATAGACTTTGTCTGATTCTAATAGACAATGTCCTGAATACTGAAACAACGTATTTAAAATGGCACTTAACTATCAAATTCTATTAGTTACCTTGCTTCGGTAACCAATTCTAAATTATTGACTCAAAGTGTTGACCATCCCGTTCCAGTAAACGATACCCCAATTATAGGCTACTAAATGACTCCTAGATATTAGAGCATCGATTACTTAGACTATTTTACCGCGAAAAATGTTCCATAGATTTTAAAATTAGCGGCCGCTTTCATTCAGTAGCCTGGTAAAAACACTTCCCAGCACAACCATCTACCAATGCAGTAGCGAAAGACCGTCGTTCGAGCCGGGAACTATGAACACGTGGTTGTAATACTTCTGAAAGCAGTGAAAAGGCTTTGAGAGTTCTGTCTGGCCGGGAGCACAGAAAGCTTTCGCGCGTTTCTCGCTGCCTTTTAAAGGTGCACGCGCCACTCTGTCCCCTTATGAATCACTCACCGAACCGTTAATGTTACGTCTACTCGCACCTTTTTATTTCACTCCACTGTTTTCCTTTTGTCGTAGACTATCGGTTGTGTTTCGTGGCCTACCTATCAAAATTCTTTGTGTTTGTCGCTTACGACTCGCTGTCTACTATTTCTCATAAAAAAAAAAAGTTGCACAGTAATTCTTTTTCGCGATCTCATGACGAGAAGCAATTACTGGACAGCACGTTCAGAGTATCAAAAGCTAAATAAGGAGCGTGGGCCTTCTCGGGGACTCCTTTAAGATGAATCTCTTTCAGAGAAAGAACCTACTCGGAGAACGGATGATTCCTATCTGTGTCATTACACTTAGAATTGTCTTAAATTACGAAACTCTTGTTAGTTTCCTTTTCTACTGGGAACAGACAACGTCGAGCGCGTTAAAAGCTAAAAAAGGCGATCGAGTGAACGTGTAAGAACGAATCCACGTGGGACGCATTCAGTATCAGTGTGTTTTCTTACAGAGAATAAAGAATCGGAGGATTTAGTTAAGAATCGGTTACCTACTCTTAGGCTATCTCTTTCTCTGTAACAAAGCACGGCACAAAGACCCATTAACCCTTTTGCTCTGGCATACTTGTAATAAAATGCGATATCTGTGAATGGAACGCGTCGTTCGCGATCAATACGAGCCTACAAAGCGTACAGCGTACAACAGCATATCTTGGATAACTGCGAGAAACACAGGACCGAAGTCATGTATCTTGTCGAACGTAGAAAAAGATAAATGAAGGATAAATAAGAATAACACAATGTGAAAGTTATTTATTTTTTATTTTTTATTAATGGAACCTTTACTATTATATTTGTGAGGTTTTTCTGATTAAAATTAGACCAAACACGATATAATTTAGATCATATTTGCGTATTTAACCCTTCGAGTACTGTGCCGGAGTCACTTTTAACTCATCACTTTCTTCCAGGCACCCCTGGGAAAAATTTTAATGAGGGATTCTAGAGGCCAAAATAAGACGAAAATCAAGAATACTAATTTGTTGATGAAGGCTTCGTTAAAAAGTTATTAACAATTAAATTCAAAAATTTCAAATCGTTCTGGAAAAATGATTTTCGGTTGCGGGGATCAATTACAAATCATTTTTGGTCATTACATATACACCCGAAATCCTACGCCCTTTCGAGACAAAAATTCCTTACCGTAAATCTAATTAGGTGCCTACATTTTTCGACGAAAAAAAAAATTTCAAATCGTCCTGGAAAAATTATTTTTGGATACGGGGGTCAATTACAATCATTTTTGGTGAATAGACATACCCGCGAAATTCTGCGCATTTTCGAGAAAAAAATTCAGTACGGGCGGAACTTTAAACGTTAATAACTTTTTAACAAAGCCTCCATCAACAAATTGGTATTCTTGATTTTCGTCTTATTTTGGTCTCTAGAGTCCACCATTAAAATTTTTCCCAGGGGTAGACAAACACCCTGTATATCTCTATTAGTGAAATGTAGGTTTGAGTCAGAAATGACTCCGGCACAGACTGCAAAGTCCAATACAGGTTGGATTAATGAACAACCATAACTCATTCTTTTGGCACTCACGAATACGATTCTACACTCTATTAGAAGTAGATTAAAAACAAATTCTTGCCGATATTTGAGCCCAAGTCAAGTTACCCCCAGTAGTAGGGATGACTACTGTTCACTTATCCAATCGAAAATGACTCGCAATTATCCAAGCATTGCTGTATACTTAACGTTTGCAATATGCATTTGTTGTTTGTACATTTTGAGTACCACAAACGCTGAACCAATCTTCTTGGTAAACATACACTATCATCCTATCAACAGTATGGAAACAGTTATTCTAATAAAACACTCAGTAATATTATACACAAAATACTCAGTAATATTTCTTTCAATATAATTATATGATATTCTTAAATAAGACAATTTTGTACGTAGTAGTATTAACATTACTACAAATTATATTTTCCTAATTAGATAACTGTTTTCCTTAAATGCAGGTAAAAATCTATGGAAGACTAGTATTTTATAAGCATTTTGATTTATTCGTTATTCAAGAATTATATTGTTTGTTCCTCATGAATTACAAATAAATCGAATTTATTCGTAATATTTAAATTTCTTGTTCTAAATAACTTTTTCCCCAATATTGTTACTCGCGTTTACACCTCGACAAGATATAATGTTATTTATCTATATAACTTATGTTGTTATTTTGGTGTTCGTCCATCCTTGGGAAAAATTGCCACGGCTCATTTTAGAGGCCAAAATAAGACGAAAATCAAGAATATCAATTTGTTGATTGAGCCTTCGTTAAAAAGTTATTAAAAAATTAAATTAAAAAGTTTCAAATCATTCACGGAAAAATTATTTTTGGATCCAGAGGACAATTACAATCATTTTTAGTCAATAGACATACCCTCGTAATCCTACACACTTTCGAGAAAAAAATCCTTTACCGAAAATATCATTTCTGGCCAAAAATGTCTGTCTGAATTTTCTTGTGTATCTTTAAAACATCATAATTTCTGAACGGATTGAAGGATTTTAATGTTTCAAAAAGCAAATAACGCGTATTTTGATGTAGAATATGTAGAAATTCCAAAAATATCCGAAAACTTGCTCC